GGCGGGGGGAGCAGGTGCGGGCCAGAGGCGAGGACAGCGCCCGGGCACGGAGCCGTGGGGCGCGCACGCTCCCAGGTAGGTCGGGGGAGGCGGAGGGGACGCCCCGAGCTTGCCCCGTCCCGGCGCGGCGCTTCGCGCCCCTTCACGGCCTCCCTCCGCGTGTCCCCGGGAAGTAGGGCAAAGCTTTTGGAAAGGGGGGTGGGTCTTCCCCAAACTTCCCCAGTTTCTCTAAGATTTTCAACAAGGAAACGCGGCTAACCGAGTGGGTAAAAGATCAGAGCAAGGCGACACGTTTTGATCCTCCCTTCAGCTATCTCTGCTATGGGAGCCGCTGCAGAGCGGTCTGTGTTGTGTCCTTTTGACCAGCTGGGCACAGGGTTTCTTGCCTGTTTTCTTGACGCTTGGAGTGTGGAAAATGTTAAGAAAACAGCTAGAGTCCAGTTTGGTTCTGAACTCAGAAGGAAACAGCTGCCAACTAAATAATGCATTTAGTCCTCCTGGAAGAGGTCCCAGAAAGCGGCAGAGGTTAACTAAACAGAAGTTTAACTTGAAGTTGGCAAAATGTGTTTACATATAATATATAGTGGTGCTAAAAACTAAACGGAGATCTGGAAAGAGAGTCCGTGATCTGGTTTGTTTTCCACTTTAAGTCTGTTTGGCTAGAAACGAGTTTAATTTTTTCCCGCCCCCCAATAACAAAATCAAGTAAAAGTCATGTTTCTTTTTGCAAATATTGTAAACATGACTGCAGACAAAGCAGAACAGCAGTTCCAATATCATTGCAAAGATTGTGGAAATGAGACTAAGTTGGTCTGTATATTTACTCTTTTGGTTTTGTTTAGGTTTCTTCTGGCTTCTTCACATAATAATAATTAACTCTTCATGGTACCGTATGTGACTTGCAGTGCATGAAACAAGGGCAGAGTTTGTCCAGATGAATCTTTCTTCTGTAGAAGCTAATCATGTGTGATTACTTATATAAAAAAGAGAGACTTATTTTTAGAAGTAGTTTGTGTGAAGATACATGGTAGCTAGGAGTTACTATGAGTTATCTGTACCTGTCCATTTGCTTAGGTACAAATGTTTGAACGTAGCTGGTTAACATTGCATGCCTAAGGCAACTTGAAGTTTTCATGGCTCTCAGAAAGTTAATGAGAGCCCTTGCTGCTTTGAAAAGTCAGGATGTCTGTACTTCAGTGTGTAAATTGATATATAGACACTTAATGACCAGCACCCAAATTAGAAAAAAAAGCAGCACCTTCATTTTAACACTGTGCAGCTGGTCCTGACCTGTGCTTGAGAAGTAACTGGCAGTTGCGGGGTTTAGAGAAGTGTAGCTCTGCAGAAGTACACCTTCACTACTGTCTGATTACAATAGCTAGCCATGAAAGTAGTTTCTTTAAGAAATAATGACTTGAAGGTGGTGAGTTGTTCCGTATGTATCAAATCAGTTACGAGTCACCTATAGAGAGCCATTCATGTGATCCCACTGACTTCTTCCTTTTTTAATATTGATAGTAGGAGTCGGAAAGGACTACTGAGCTTACAAGTGTAAAACTAAAAATCTTTATTCCAGAAAGCATTGCAATTTAAACCTCTGGATTTTTGATCAAACTTTCTGTAACAGGTGAAGCTTTCCATTTAACAGATCAGTGGTCTACAGAGCTAGACCCTCCTGAGGCTAGTGTGGTCTAAAACACTGATTTTTTTTTCTTGGAGTTTTAATGGTTAAACCAGCAGAAGACAAGTCTCAGCAAATGTGCAGTGGACGACTTGCTGATCTGTGAGTCACTGACACTATGGGAGCCATTATAGTCCATAGTGATAAAATAGTACTCGGGAAATTTAATCCACTAATTATTGACACAGAAGCTATAAATAGAGTTTATAATGAAAACACTGAGAAACCCGTAACTACCTTGTGCAGCTATAATACAGAAAGTGTTTTAAATGTTAAATAATTTCAAAAAGCTTTGCTTTTGATAGCATTGAGAACACAAAGTGAATATGTGCAATGATGAATAATAAAGTATCTATACAGTTAAAGAACATTTTTTATCTACTAGTTATTTAAAATGATTAGTATTTGTGCAGTCTCCACCACTTACAATGAATGTGCATTACAAGCATGCAAAAACTACAATTTTTGCTATATTCCCTAAAGAGAGAGTAAAGTACAAAGATTCTGTGGCTTAACCTATTTATTTGATTTATATGTCACCCTTGATTTATTTGACTTATTTGTCACCCTTCCCAACATGGCTTAGGGTGGCTTGTGATTGAAATAAAAGGAATGGGATTTTAAAGACAAGTTACGTTACAACTGTGGGCAGATCCAGGATTTCAAAGAGGGGTGCTGGAGATCAGTGACCAGCACTGCAGGAGTGGTTGCACACCCTGCTCCCCCTCCTCGTGGGCAGATCGTACTGTGGGAGCAGCAGGCGGAGACTTTAAGTCCCCAGTGAAGTAATAAGAGTCTCCCCCCTTCCTCCACTCTTGGCAGCCCTCCCTTTTCATCTACGCTCATGGCACGTTCCCCTCCCCTCCCAGTCCCCTTCTTGCCCTCTCTGCTTTTTTCTCTGGAGCAGGAAGGGGTTGGGGAGAACTGCTTGCCACTGCTGTTGGTGTCCCAGCCACTCTGGCTCCGCTCCAGTTAGGACTGTGGTGAGTGGTTGCATGGGGTACTGTTTCCTCTCCCTGCCCCTGCTCCTGGGCTGTTTAGGAACATCAGAGGGGGGACTGGGCAGAGGTGGGGAAACCCACCTGCTGCCACCGCTGTCCTCACTGAGCCCAGCTTCACACAGCCTGGCTGGAGTGGGGCCGCAGCAGCTTTGGAGCTCCTCCCTGATCCAGGTTAGCCAGAAACAATAACAGTGGTGGGTGGGAGAGGAAGGAATAGGAAGGGAGGGAAGGGGAAGCACCTCTGCCCATGAAGGGCAAAAGAGGGGATGCCAAGCAGACAAGGGGAGATGGGGAAGAGATTTTTACCTGTTTCTGAGACCTTGAAGTCCCCAGCTGCTGCTCTTGTGATCCAGAAGGAATCACTGTAATCCAAAGGGGGATGTAACAGTTCCACTACACACCCTATGGATGTTTGCAGTCTTTGCCCAGCTCCTGATAAATAGGTGGCCTCTTCAGAAAACCATATTTAGTAATAGATGGAGCTCTTCTGTTATTCTCAGAAAAGAGGCTAAGTACTGAATGCCCATGAAGACTGAGCAGCCCATTAAACTTCTACAATGGTTCCTCCTGCTCAGACCTGAGGCATGTTGGTGTGGCGATGTGGAGATAGTTGCTCTGTTGCAGACTTTATTGTACGTAGTGACTAAAGAAACGAAGGATCTTGGGCTTAATGGCTAAAATGTTGGTATTAGTCACAAGCAAAATCAGTTTCATGGCTAATTTCCAAATTGTTTCATTTATTTGAGTACAAAATCCACTATTGTACTAAATCACAAACAAATTGAATAAAATCCCATGGCCAGAGGTGCTGACTGAGGAACCACAGGCTTTACTGAAATCAATGGGAGCTGTGCCTTTGAAAATCAGGCCAGATGTGTGTAAGCCAAGACGTTATTCCTAGGATATTTTATCCTTAAAATTATCTATTTAATATTTAAAAGCAGCTGTAGCAGCGTGATTTTTTTTTTTTAAGGGCAAGAACAATCTGTGTGCATATAGTATTATGCTGCTATTTCCCATTAACCAGCAGCTGTTATTTTTTTTGTAAGCAAATACAAATCATCTGTGATATTCTAATAACTGGGTTCCTGCAAGTTTCTGACCTCTGAGATTCAGAGTGCTTTTGATTTCAGTTTGGTCAGTCAAATCAAATAAATAGGTAACAGAAAAAAGCTTTGATCCAGCAACTCATACTCATGTAATCTCTGTTAGGGAAATCCTGGCCCCACCTAAGTCAATGGGAGCTTTGTTTTTACATGGATCAGAGTTGAAAAACAGTCAAATTAACAATAACAGCTAAATCAGTAATACCGATGCAGCACTATTAACCAATTCCATACTCTTTTTATTACTAATATTTTGTGCAAGTACTAGTGGACCATTCCAATAGGACAAATTCTTTCATTCCCCTCATTTTAATTTGATATTTAATATACAAAAAAAAATTTACAATAATAAGGTGATTGGAGTTGAGTGAGGAAGGGTCTAGGAGAAAAAAATCAAATGTTTTTGACATTTCTCCCCTGTGAATAGGTTAGTTCCCCAGAGGTGGGAGCATGCAGGCCACCAGGTCATTCTACCTCTATTTCAGCTTGAATACTGAAAGTCCCAATCTTGAAACCACATTCCCGTGCCAGTAGTCCCAAGAAGTTGTACTACATATGTAATAGCCTGATTTTATTTTCATTATCCTCCTCCTTTCCATCATCCTGTTTGCCAATTCCAATTAGAGATAAGACCACAAATATTACAGAGGCTTTCCTTACTGTTTGATTCTATAACACTTAGCATGGTGGGCTCTAATCCTAACTGGGGTGTTAAGTACATTTGCAATACCAAACTACTTGTATACGGGGGCAAACTTGTTGGGCAACTATCCAAGATTCTGTGCTGCAAGGACAGGGTACAAGTAGAGCTGCCCCACCTGCATCACTGGTGCAGAAAGTTATTCACTGTCCTTATGTCTTGTCTTATATCTATCAGTGCCACCTGAAAATACTTGATAGCATTTGTCCTCTGACTTTTTTTTCAGGACTGAACTATAGGTAGAAATCTATCAGGGCAATAAAAAAACCTATTACCTGCTAAGAAAGATAATACACCTGCATTCTCAGAATGCCCCGTTCCCTGTTTACTGTGACTTACTGGGAGGAGCTCATTATTTTTATTGTTCATTAAAAGGAGTTCATAATTTATATTGGTAAAGAGATCCAAACTTGTGATCGGATCCAGCCCACTAAGAGCAGCAGCAGCTATTATCCTACTCTACCAATTCTTATCTATAGACTGCTACAGGGCTTGGCTTTATCAGCCCACTTTATTCAAAGTAAATGTAAAATCTTTGGAAGGCCAATTGATGCCAGAAACTTCACTCAGCAACAGCTTTCCCAACT